ATAGGAAAAACATAAAACGCATGCTTATAAGATGATAACATAAAGCCGTGTATACTTAAACTTGCAATATCTGCAATTTTCTGGTCACTTGGGGGCAGCAGAAACAGTATTGACATATGTTGATATAGAGAGCAACTGTGAGGCTCCAGTAAAAAATTTCATTCATATTCTGAATTGAGGAATTTTGATTATAGGCATAATGTCGTAACTATCCAATCTAGACATAGCACATGCTATGAGATTGTGAATCGATGATATATACTCAAATGCACGTTTTATTCACAATCTCGTAGAGAAGTACTACAATACCTACAATCCTTAAGTGAAAATCTAATTTATGTTTTTATTGTATGGACATCACTGAATGGTATCTGATTGGATTTGGTTTTTTAAGGACTGAGCCAAAATTGTTGAATACTGGATTCAGAGTTCTTCACACTTCTCTGTTTTTGTTTTAATCTGTTTTCGGCTCTATTGCTGAAACACATATTACCTGTGACAGAAATAGCCTGCAGTCGTTGGGGTTTGGATTAAAGAACAGTGTACTGGATAGGAGCCATGCTGGCCCAGTTTGGACTTGAGGCTGTTCCTGGCTAATGTGCGGTCTTGCCGAAATGGGACTGGCCAAAAAACAGGAGATCAGAGACTGTTCTGCCCACATCTTTACAGAGACCTTCTCCATCAGCATCCCGGATCAAGCCCTCTGATGCTTGGTACTCAAACGCTGTCAAAGTGGATGGACACTGTTTCTTTTTATGTGGAGATGAAACTATATTATCATTACATACAGAATTATTTACTGGGTGTATACGTGTATATATGTGAATATACATATCTGTATTTGTGGGTATATTTCATTTATTTTCTACGTTATTCTATGAATTTAATTATCTTTGTTTATGTGTGTAGCATGAAGAAAGAGCGTGCTTTCATTTTGTTATACAATCTTGTATAATGATAAATAAATGTCCTTGATTCCTTGTATCCTGTATCGGAGTGTGAGACTGGGCTGTATTATTGTATATTTTATCTGCTATGTTTGTGGTTGTAACTTTTGATGCTGGATTTACTCCAGCATTTGCCCTGTAATCCGGTTTAGTAGAATCCACCATACAGTATTTATAGCACATTTATCATGATAAATCATAGATCTCTTTGATGTGTATTGGTGAGCCTGTGAATGCCTCCAGGATCCTCCCCCCAGGGCCAGTGTGTTATTCCAGTAATCCAGGCCAGTAATTGATCCAGGGCTGGCAGCATCATACTGCTGGCAGGTAGCCACGGTGGGTCTGAGTGACCTTTGGCCCCAGGTCACTGCCTCTGGTCTTGCTCGACTGGCTTTAAAAAGAGATGAAAACTATCAATCACCCGCTGGATGGATGCACATCACAGGCAATGCATAAATCAATACGCAGGAGAGGCTGTCTGTTTCTTTCCAAATAATAAATCATCCAGCTGTATTTTGCTGTTTTCTCAGATTCAGTGCAGTCCAGCTGCACAGAAACCAGCCGGATCAGGGAGGTCAGACATCCTTATCATGAACAGTTGTGGTCTACAGCTCTGTGTCAGCTGCTCTGTGATCCAGGAGAAAGATGTTTGGGAACACGCTGATGGGAGTTAATGTAGAGTTAAACAGAAAATAAAATATATTGCAACAGACCTCTCCTTAAATTAGATGACTCATTAGTCTCAGCTGGGTGTATGCGTGTTGCTTACATACTGTTGCTCACGTCACAATATTCACAAATTATACACTCATTTTATACCTTTGCAGCTGTTCCAGTTTGTAGCACATAAGTGGAATTATACCAATGACTCACAGCTAATGCCTTTTGGTTTTGAGGGATGGGTAGAGTGGAGCTGCCTGTGAGTAATAGAAGATTAGATTTTGGATAATCCCAGACAGAACACGCAAGAAGGTCAAGTTACTTGACAAGGTGATTCTGATTCTCAACACCTTTGAGTTAGACTCACTCCTGAACATTTCAGCCCACAATATGTGATAATATCAGTAACATGCTGGGTACTGTGACAAATATGTACAGTAAGTGCAAGGTAATAAGACAAGAGGTTATACAAGGGAATAAGGGGGTAATAACTTTGTGTTTAAGTTTGAAATATATTGTTCTGCAAGTACTGACAGGATACAATTACATTTTTACCGGGTAACAAGGTAACACTTGGGATAATGTAATTCAATTTTTTTAAATTTTACCAAAACATAAGACAAACAAAGAAAAGCTGTCATGAAATCAGACATATTAGACTGCAACAGCCAAAAAAAAAAAAGCCTGGAGGGACTGATCTAACCTGTAATTATGTCATAAATACTGGGTAACAAAGTAAGTTTAATTTATTTCTAGGTCCCTCCTAAATGACAATTTGTTAGCCCCTGATTCCTTGTACTTCTCCCATTCTACCTATAGGAAGGTACCCTGTAAGTATTTCAATAGTACACTAAACGTACAAATGATTTACAGGGCTGTAATCTAAAGCCTCACTGAAAATTTCACCACAATGAAACCACAATGAGATTGACAAAAGAGCCTTAACTCAAGGTTTTACCAGAGCTTTCAATCACATCTCACTGTCTGCCTGGAGTTAAGTATTTTATGTTTCCAAGGTTAATGTTCAACCAGTGAGTTTTTTGTGAGACAATTCGTCCACATTGTGAGTGAACTCCAGCTTTTATCACTCCTGGGAGTGTGTAGGACACCGATTCACTCACACACCACCCTGGTTCAGTTCCTGCGCTATGAGGCAGAATTGTTTAACTTCAGTACAAGGGACGACAGTATGGCCCCGCTTCATAAACCACAGCTTCTCTTTGATGTGTTATTTTTTTATGGGCGAGGAAAGCCTCATGGGTTGGGCCTTTCTCCGCCTTCACCACCTCCTCCTCCTCCTCCTCCTCCTCCTCCTCCTTCTCGTCTTCCTCCTCCTTTTAACCCAGCTGGCATCTAACTTCCAGCATACGTTGACCAAAGGTTGGGTGAGCTCACCAAGCAGGAACGACACTGAGTGTATGAGAACGTGACTGTATCTGTGAATCATTTACCAAGCGAGCGGAGGGTCATTTGAAAGAGAGCAAAGCCAAAGGGCAGCACTGTACACCGAGCTGCACGTGACTCTGCTCTGCATGGGAAACATGGAGCTTGCTAACATGTAATTAGCTGTTACTATTTTCATTCTGCATAGCCCTGAAGCAGCACAGGCTGTTGGTTGTACGCCCTGTGCCAGGAAAGTTTGAGGCTGTCAGGCAGTCTCTTCAACTTCAGCTCTGTATTGGTCTGAGCAGAGACAGAGAGGACTGTCCTGACCAGAGGACCCCCTCCCTGAAATGAATGAATGACCCCTCTCACTGTGGGGAAACAACTATCCTCAATGAAAAATAAGTTCACTCCTGAAGCCTCTTTTTTTCAAGGAAATTGGCAATATGCTCAAAAAGGAAGACATTGTACAGAAGCAAAGAGAAGTCATGCCATATTCCTAAAACAGATGTTGTTTTCATTTTTAAAGGGGGGAAAAAAACTAGTCTGAGTGAGTTGAGATTATACGTTTTCAGGAAGACTTTGGCCAGCTATTGTACAGTAAGTGGAAAACAGGACTGTCCTCCTGAGGGACCTCTCAGTGACTTTGACATTAAAAGCTCATTTTCCCCCTCCCTAAATGCTGCTGCACTGAACATCATCCAAACTGCAAGCTAATGCAAACTCCTGGCATTGCTTCAAAGCCGGGCTGGTGTCTGCCTCGCTTCCTCTGCCCCCTTTCCTCTGCTCCTTCGCTCCTCTCCATCTCGAGCAGCGTTGGAGTGAAGACTAACCAAAAAAAAAGGATAGAAACTGCTTTCACCTCTAACCCAGATCACTGAGTGGGTGATGAAATGGAAATAAAACAAATTGGCTTCTGTGGATTGTGGACTGAAAATATTGGTGTACACTCATGGCTAGCTCTAATAAACACTGTTCACTTTTAATAATTACTAAAACAGCACAGCTTTGCACATTCGAAAGGAAAGCTGAGTGTATTATAAAGATGGGATGTGAAGCTACTAAACAAAATCCTACACATGCAACTAGTTTTGAATATAATGAGTAAAGAAGGCAGGGCAAGAGGTATGTTTTTCTTTTTATGAAGGCAAACAAACACTTAAAGTAATAACTTGGCAACTCTGCATCACTGAGCTGAATGTGAATGTTGAGATGAGCTTTCAGTATTATTAAGAATTAACATTGATAATATGTGTCATCAATAATGTAATGGTGTTTTAAGTCCATGCTCATGTTTTAAATTAATTCAGGGCTTTCTCAGTGGTCTGTACGGTAGTTAATTCAGGAAAACACTATAAAGCTTCTTCAATACAAATATATTAAAGCAGTTATCCTGGATAAACATTTTAATTGGCAAATTAATCAGCAAATATTTCTGTAACAAAACAATTTTTTCCTTGTTAATGGAAAAGTTCACACATTTTACATTTCCTAGTTACAGAAGCCTGAGCTGAAGGCAGATTTGGGGAACGGTCCTGTTGTATTGCCAAGTTTGAGTTTTGGGTTTGGGTCAATGAAGAGCGTGAACAGTGAAGCAATAATAACATGCATGCTGTTGTACTCGATTACTGCTGTCAGTGTTGGCGTTCTCTGTTGTTGTTGGCGACCACATTTGGGGTCGGGACTAATTATTCTTGAGCTTATATAGATCTAGTCTGACTCTCTTCAAATCCCTTTTGGATTTCAAAATGTATTTATTTAATTGTTTTCCACAGGTCCATTGCAGCTTTTGTGTCACACTCAATGGGCGCCTTATAGCTCACCTGGTAGAGCTGGCGCCCCATGTACCAAGGCTAGTCCCAAATGTGGTGCCAGTGCTGTTGGACTGTATGAATTTTATCCAAACAAATTCTGAGGACTTAAACAAGTGAGTACAAGTTATCAGCAACATGCAGATTTTTTGGTTTCTTCAGACTCTGCACAGTACAAAATACCAATAGGTAAACAAACTATAATATATGGTATTTTATTTCAATTAAGAAATTGACAAGCACTCATCAATCAACATATTAAAACATTTGCGTCGTCTGTGCAAACTCACATGACGGCTCCTTAAAATAAATACTTTTAAGAGGAAATAATACAGACAGAATATGTGAGGCTCAAACCACAAGTACAAACAAATTATCCAAATGTATAAGAGACGAAAGGGTCTGAAAATTCCCAAAGTCAACCCCGACTCTCCAACGAAAAGTGTTGTATAAAACAGCAAGTATTTTTAAAAATACAGAATCTTACAAAAAAGTTTTATCTTCTCACTTCTTTAAATCACTGTAAAATATCAGCTGGTATTATGACAAGAAATCATGAATTTTTCCATGTATAATAATAAAAAGACAGAATGTGCTTCTGCATTTTTACATTAGTATTCACATACATCATGAATGTACTGTATCATCAAAGTCCTCCAACCCTCTGATGGTGCTGGGATGGAGACAGGTGTTATCGCACAGGGCTGCGTCCCTCCAAATGCTCCTCGTTGCCACGTTGTGTGCCGAGCTGAAGATAGACACCGGTGACCATGGTAACAACAAAGGTGTAGTCAGTCCCAAGACAGCCACATATTTGCAGAGACCACGTCCATTAACCATCTTCTCAAACAGTACACCGTCCATGCCCAGGCTATGTAAAACAATACACTTCACAGCCAAGTGTTCATTGTCTTTATAGGTTATATTACCAACAGCGTTCACATTTTCTGTATATAAAACAAAAAAAAACTTAAAAAAAACTACTCTTTTTGACAATTTGTCAACTTTCAAAAAGGTCCAAAAAAGAGACAAAGTAGCCATCAACGGGAGAGGGTTTCAAGAATACAGGTTACAGTACAAAAATGTGGTCCAGGTGGTAGCACATGAAGCATGCATGTGTTTATGTTGCCCTGCTCACCCCTTAAACCCTCATGCGAAGACATACTGTATAAAAAGGCCACATGGCTTTTCCTTCACTATTAAATGCGCGTGTACTCCGACAACTGGCCTCTTTGTCTGCTCTGCTCATTCGAAGACCGACGAAAAGGTGCTTTTTTTCCTCCTCCTATTGGTGGACTCCACAATAGACACGAAGCCTCATAGAGTCGCTATGAAGCGTGTGTTTGGTACATCTGCACGCTCCTGAAGCTTTTTATGACTGGGTCGAACTATTGACAAACACAAGTCACAGACAGTTCCTGTGGTGGGAGCAGTTAACTAGAAGAGACAGATAAGTTACTTCAATGTTGTCGGGTAAAAAAACTTGTCAACTTCTTTGAACGTTGTAGGATTTTCTCAGCATTAGGAGAGACATGTTTAATTTTAGTTAAAGTGATGGTTTGACATTGAGAAATACGCTTTTTTTGCTGAGAGTTAGGTGAGAAGACTGACACCACACTCATACCTTGCTCTTCAGTGTAAGGATACAGGGTGGTATTGATCTTCTCATTCAACTTTACCACAATGTCAAACTATTCCTTTAAAACATGAAAATCACCAAGATTGAAGCTGCGAGTTTCTCACTTGAAAACATCGATCTGATATTTGTGTGTGCACAAACCTCACGAGTAGTCTCCTACCAAGGGCTCTGTGTTTGTTAAGGGATCAGTGGGAGTATACTGTATGAGCATGTAAACAAAAGGCAGTTGGGCTTGAGCTTGAGTCTGTTGAGCTCCCTCTTCTTTAAATTACCACAATGGGACGTCTCTAACCAGCTTCTAACTTTCTTTCTAAGTGCAGAGGCTTAGTGAAGCCCTTCACCCCTATTTTTTATATCTTTTCCATAATCTTTAACATCTGTACTGTGGAAATAACAACAAAAATATAACTTAACATAAACTCTCTAGGCACTGTTTGATTTCCAAGGCTTTTTGTTGTAGACTGTGATAAAAGGTCAGCAAACAGATAAAAAAATTAATAAAAAGAAACACCAGAGAGTGATGGTTTCTGCGGACCAAACACTTTCTCCTCTGTTATACATCAAGGTCCTCCGAGTCAGCTCACACAGCCAAACAGACTCGCTTCAAGCTCTGTGGTTGAGAGGCTGTAAGGGCAGAAAGTATCTAAAGGGTAAGTGTGTAGAAGTTTTCAAGGTGTTCAAGTCTTTAACCTATCTTTCTCCTTCATAAAAAGGATAAAAAAAGGTTGGATCTTAAGCCATTATCTTCTGGGGAATCTCTATTGAAGCTTTAATGAAGATGCAGTTGTCTCGGATGTAGTTCCTCTTCTTGATCTCCTCGTGAGAGATGAACTTGGGGTAGCCGAAGCCCAGGGTGCTCTCGTCCAGCGAGTTGCGGCTGCTGCAGGGCTTCTGGAAGTTCTTCCAGTTGGGGTCGGGGTTGAAGGTCTCGGTGATGTGCTGGGGTTTGGAAAGCGATGGGTCGCTCTGGTCCAGGATGGAGAAAGTCACCTTGTAGGAGAAGGGCCACTCCAGCAGGCTGTCGTACTCTCCGGGCAACACGCGGATGTAGACGGAGAGGTGGGAGCCCTCGCCGCTTCCATTACCATTCAGGAAGGCCGACACCTGCAGCTTGTAGCCGTAGCGGTGAGTGTAGAAGGGTGGGCTGAAGAACTCATGGTTGCTTCGGAGTTTGGCCTCCTGGAGTTTGCGGGAGTAGTCGCTGAGCTTCCAGATGAGAACACCATCGTGACTGACGGACAGCTCCTCCATCTCCCTCCGCAGCTCCAGGATCTCCTGCCGCTGACGGCCCACCAGGTTACACATCATAGTCAGGTGTGACTTAGTAGTGTCTTCCAGGTGACGACCGATAGCCAGTTTGGGGCACTGCCGGAGAGACAGCAAAGAGATTAATTATGACTTATACGTATACAGCCATATAAAGTAACATAAAGCGACTATCTGTTTCTGTTCATTTCACAAACATATCATATCTAGAGCATCTAGATTGCCTAATTTTTCAGGTCAAAACTTATATGTTTTGACCTTACATTATTTATATGTATAAAAAACAACATGATATTTTAACCATGCACCTAAATTCATCAAATAATAAAGCATGATTTGTAAGAAAAACTTCTAAAGGTCTAAAAACTATACTTAATGGTCTGGGAAGAAATGAATACTGTTAGAATAGAAAGTGATGTTTTAAATATTGGAATGATGATGATCTCTATACTGCAGCTGTGGATAGATGTTTTCTGCTTTGCACCAGGCCATCTATAAATGTTATACATTAATCTTTGCAGATGCTTTGTAATTCTTAATGGAGCGAGGAGCCGACAACACAGAGTATGATGCTCATCTGCTGCTCTTCCTCAAGCGTGTCCACATTTTCTCAAATTGACATCAGTTTCAAAATAGACAGAAAAGTGCTGTCAGAATATAGAAGTGCTGCTCTCATTAAAATAGACCCTACAGGCTGTATGTTTGTAAAGAGAAAAATCATCACTTCGGCGAAGTGAGCAAGGATATATGAAGGAAATATAATGACAAAAACATATAAACACCCACGTTGATAAGAAGTCTTAACAGAAAAGTTCCTCCGGCGGCCAAAATGATCTTTTGAGGTTAAATGATGTCAGTCTCACCCTGTGTTTGCAGCCGGCGTCTTTGAAGGGGCAGAGAACAAGCGCGCTGCCGCAGTTGTCCTTCACATGGTTAGCCAGATCCTCTCGGGCGATGTTGGGTGTGCCACACTGGTTTGGGCACTGGACAGGAAACCGAGGGCAGTGGTACTGATGGTTCTGCAGGGGAGTGAGGAACAGTGTTAATGTGTGCACTGCTGACCGACAGCATGAGTGATAAGAAAACATGCTGCACAGTGGGGTCACAAATGAATGGTTGCACAGGGAAAAATGTCCTTGAAGGGTTCAAAAAATACATTTGGTTTTAAAAATTAGGCTGCAAAAATAGAACAGAAATAGAAAACAACTAATCATGCAGCCTGGAGCCATAGAAAATGTTTAGACCACGCTGCTAATAACACATGCAAAGCCCAGTGACTCATTGTGACCGTCCAAAACCTAAATATATATTTAATTTACAATAATATAATGTCGTGAAAAGCAGATTTAAAAATACTTTTTAATCCCCACAATGAGATGGTAAAAAAGTGACAAGAATGGAACCTGCGTAAATATAATAAATTAAATGTATTTTTAATGTTAATTTGCCATCATACAATTCAAATGTATTATCTCATACCACTATAAAGTCCAAAATAATTACTGAACATCATATCAGGAGGCTAAATGCCCTCTGAAAAAATGCTGTGTGTAAAGAGAACACTGAAATTAAATGACTGGGATAAAAACATAATAAATGCATTATAAAACAAGACTGGATTATTATTACATCTTGGCCCCAAAATGTGGGGGAGGAGAGCGACACTGACTGCTCAGCCTCTGGCCAGATGTGGAGGCAGGTGCTTCCACATAAAAGCCCAGACAGCAAATCAGCAACATGCACTAAACTCCAGCTGCCACAGGACAGAAACACCACGAATGGCAGCACCCTACAGCTACTCTGTTGAGGCTGGAAACCCTCTGTGAGCCACACGCAGGACGGGTGACAGGTACAGTGAAACTAACAGTCACATTTTGAGAGAAAATATATCTCTGCTCTTAAATGGCTCAATCATCCAGTTTCCTCACAGGAGGAAGAATTTAAGCAGTCATTTGGGAAACAATGAGAGATTCTCATAGTGAAGTTTGCGTGAAACTGACCTGGATTGTGTCGAAGACAAACTCCTTTCCGCAGTACTTGCAGGGCTGTGTGCGTTTGGGACACTCGGCCAAGCCGTGTTGGGACAGCAGCCGACGCATCATCCTAGCTCCGCACTTGTTCTCACAGTAAACACTCTCCTGAGGACACACACCCTGGTGGTTCTGGGGATAGAAAGGAAATATAAAGAGCTTAAAACTACATTTAAAAAAATATATATATAAACAACATTTCTGAAATCTGTGAGGCTGCAGGTTGACTTGTCCATGATGAATATGAAGTTAGTAACCTGTAAAATAATGTTTCTCATGATGAGCTGTTTACTGATGAGATCTAGTGCTGGATATTGGACATCAATAACATTAGAGAGGGCTCATGCAGAGAGATATGTCCAACAAAGGGCACAACACTGTATCTCTGTTCTAGTACATACACAAAGTATTGAAGAACTGCCAAGCTTTGGTACTGAATGTTTGGACAGATCTAATCTTTTCATATTGTTTAATCAAATGTTGCCTTATTTAAATAAAAAAAATTACTTTACGCTATATTTATAGTAAATTTAGCGAAACTTTTACTGGCCTAAATTTACTCTGATGGCTTTTTAATGGATGAATTGTCTGTGTTTCCCTATAATTAAACTAATAGACTTATAATTAAAACAGTTCAGAAGTTAAGAAAATGTATTAATCAGTCCAGACAAACATAAAAAGTAAGCCAGCATGACAAAGGAAATATCAGGTATCATTGTTTTTAAACCATTCATCACCACACTTTAAAACTTTAAACTCAAGTTTTATTTGTCAGTGATTTTGAAAGGTTTTGAAACGATACACAGTTTTAAACATGACCGTGTAATTCCAAAGTGAGAGCCAAAAGGTGGATTAATGCCCCTGTAACTGTGTGCAGAGGCGGGACCATGTGGGCCAGAGTAAACAGAGAAGTGGGCAGTATGGTGGGAATGACAGAAGTGTTAGTGAGGAGACTCTGAGCCCGCTCACGGAGGAAAACACCGTCACTATGAAAGACCCAGTCAAACCTTTTTTCCTTCTGCCAACACACGTGTTATTTCATAACAGCCCAACACATGTGCATTAGTCTCTCCTGCACCTTTTCACAAAGACATCTTTCATGTAGGGGTGGAAATTATGTGGTGTCACTCGGGTTGTTTACGTCAAGCTCCCGCTGTGTTGCAAGAGGGAAAAAAAATGGAATAAAAACAGGTTTTGAGTTGGTGTTTACCTCATACGCTTCACCGGTGAACTCGCTGCCACAAAACTCGCACTTGACCTTGCGCTTGGGGCAGTCGTGCTGCAGGTGGTCGGGCAAGTCGCGGCGAGTCAGCTTAACGGAGCAGCGGTTGGGGCAGGGTATCACATTGAAGGCGCAGGTGGAGAAGTGGCCCTGAGGGAGACACAACATCAGAAAGGCATCAGACTCACACACACACACACACACACTCCCACATGTTGGGCATTCAGCCAGGCTGCTGCCAGAAATCAACAACAGGTGAGAGAGAGAGAGGCAACGGGTATCAAGAGGAAATACACCAGTCACAGTGTTTGATAAGTCAGCAGAGACTAAAAAAAGATGGAGGGTATATAGAGGAAGGGAAGAGTCTCACCTGCAGCTGCTTCATCTGGCCGGTCCAGCGGCAGCCCTCCTCGCTGTGGATGCAGCGGATGGGCAGCGCCAGGATCTGCTGCTCCAGCTCCGGGTCCGGGTAGATCTGAAGTAGAGAAACAAGACGGGGCCACAAGGTGTTATAAGGGCTGATCAGGTCATGCTCCAAGACTGTAATATATCAATTTCATGCAGCAAAAGGGAGTATAACATGGGACTAAATGTGATTTTCTTTCATGGGTTAGGAGGTTTTTTCTCCTTAAGCTAAATAAACCATGTAAAAACCTGTTCGATAGGCTGAAAAAGGCTAGGTTATGAAGCTGAGTGTACAAAAAGTTGACATTGTGGTGATACATGGTTTTAACAGGACACCAATGTAGTGTTTGACCCGTTCATGATATTGGAAAACAGGCTAATCTGTGGTTGTCAGCATTGACAGACTAGTTTTATACACCACTAAACCAGTACTTTAATACCAAATAAAGTTTAAGAGGATGAGTCAAAACAAATGCTATGAACAGATATAAGCGTCTTCCTCCATTGTCCACACATCACTGTTGCACTTGGTGACATGTTCCTTTGTTACCATGAACACACCATCCTGCTGCTGGAAATACTAGAGCCCTAAATGTGTATTAGTCCACAAGAGAAAATAGTCCCCAACAAATACACGCTTCATTCCTGTTTGAGTAATGTCTGCTTAAAGTACAGTGCCCGGCTATTTTAGACAATTCATTAGTTTCTTAAATTAAATTCAACATTTGCGAGCAGTACTAAGAGACACAGATAGTAGGGAAGTCCTCGTGGACTAATGGATTATTGACAATAACAGAGATAGAGAGAATATTGCTGTCATAAGTTTTCTCTTCATGCTCGCTTTGTCACGCTTGCTCATGGTTTCTGTTTCCCTCGCTTTGTCAGGTTTTTTGGAGAAATGCTGTAATATTTTTGCTTAATGAAACCCTGCAGGGTCATATAGACCTATGTCAACTGATACTGTTTTACCAGTATCAAAGTGTTGCTCTGAATGCCAAATATCTACATATTTGCTCCAAGTTCACTTTATCTGGGTAGTTGGTTTATGAAACAACTCCGACATTGTCAGTTTTACATTATTGTTAAATATACGACAAGGTAGAGGCAGCTTTAGAGATGCTAGTAGGTGTATTTTTTAAATTTGGGCAGGCTAGCTAGTAGGCTAGTTCCCCCTTCGCTCCCAGTCTTTATGCTAAGCTAGGCTAACCACACTCTCTTCCACAGCAGCGGCTCTGTACTTAAGAGTTCAGATGGGTGTCTCTGGCAAGGAAAGCAAATAAGAAATATCCCTTTAAATATTGTTTTTTACAATGACAGTAACATGTTGGTTTCTACATCGTGTCAAACCAGACTGAACACTGAGCTACACGAAGAATGCTTCCTCCAGACACACACACACACACACACACACACACACACACACACACACACACACACACACACACACACACACACACACACACACACACACACACACACACACACACACACACACACAGGAAAGTCAAACTGTTGCGATTGTGTTAGAAAGCTGCAGCGGTGAGTCGACTCAGCCACTGCAGTGATAATGAGTTAGTTCATGGGTTTAAAGGACCTTTGAGAGAGACACAGAGAAGAGAGAGAGGGACTGGGAGCAGAGGAAAAGATTTATTTTTCCTCGGTCACTGAGCGATGGGGATGAGTCAGTTTTCTGCCCAAACACCCCAAATCCTCCCCTACAGTACGCCGTCCTGAGGATTTACAGCTCTGCTCTGCATCTCCATCCCCCATGCTGTCACACGAGCTGAGCACTGGTCAAACAAGAAAAGCCACTTCCTCAAAATGTCACAACAGCCCTCTAAACAAATAACAGCTCAGTAACAGCCCGCCTGAGCTCACGAGCCTCCGCACCGAAACACGGGAGCCGTTTGGAAAAATGATCTACAATAAAACACTTCCACTTATCTCACTCATTGTTTCTAGCTGCTGTGTGTGGGGAGATAGACGCCTCCGCCAGACTAAATAAGATAGCTCATTAAATATGCTCCACAGAAACACAGATATATCTAACATTAAAACACATGCTTGACTTGCTGCACTCTCCACTTATACACTCGGAGCAGACAGGCAGTATTTTTTTTTTGCTGCCATAATCACATTCTTTCAGGAGAGGCAAAGAGGGAAAAATCCTCCAAAGCAAAGTGAAACACTCTCTCATTGTTCCAGTCTTGGAATCTGCAGGGAGACGGCAATAATGACCTTTTAATAACTTAGTCCCTGGCAGATCGGGGGGGGGTTAAGCTCTTTGGAACTCCATCTTGGGGGTTTATTCTGTCTGCTTTAGCCATTGTTAGTCCCACACTACTACTACTACTACTACAGCAGCACAATCCTTTAATGACTGCAACACTCTAGTTCTGTTGGAGCGAGGGTGTGTTGGTGCGCGTTTTTTCGAAGGACAGTGTGCAGCGAGCATTACAATAACCCTGACAGTAGACCACCAGGACTGGGGGTAATTTGCAGGCGACTGGGAGCCTGCGAGGGTAAATAACAAACGTCTGACAGGTGTGCCATGAGCACCTCCTTCCCGTGGGGAGTCCCTGCTATTACAGGCGCCTCCATCGCTCTCAGCACAGCATGCAGACCTGCACTGCAGCTCTGGGTAATGGCTAATTCAGGCTAATACTAACTAACTGAATAGAAGAATTATACAGCCGTCTACTTTCAATCGATGCCAAAAGCTGCTCAGAAATAAGGACGATCATTTACTGTTCATTGGTTAGTCTCTCGTGCAGAGTTCAGAGTTAATCCTCGTGCTGCACTCTCTCACTTTACAGCAGGGTTATCACGTGGGGGAGAGACATCCTCTGACTCTGAATACAGTTAGTCACTATCTTTTACGCCCCCAGGCGCAATCTGATTAACCGCCTTTAAAAAACAAAGAGGAAGAGAGCTCAGTTGAAATGAAGATACAGCTCTCTTTTTCTGGACTGCGAGAGATTTATGTGGGGAAAGAAACATATTGGTTCAGATTAACTACTGTCCCTCTGTAATGAAAATGAAATACAACCTCTGACCATTGATTATCTACATTATTGCTTGTATGTAGATTCACTACTACAAATGTTAATTTATTTTAAAGTCAAAGTTACCATCCTTAAATTGTTTTTAAGTCTGACAATCTGTATCTTTATCTATATATAGCAGGACTATATTTATTTCACTATCGGAGCTGCTTGTCTCTCTGATTTGCATTTTTTCCTGGTTGGACAGGTACATGCAAGTTTATTTAAATTCTTTGCAGCACCTGTAATGTGACTATTTATGGCATTTCTGGCAAATCTGAAACATCTTTTAAATCAGTTTTATCAGAAAACCATTCTCCACTTCCCCAAAATTTGTTTTTCTTCTTGGTCCTACAGCTGGATGTTTGAGCTTCACTGTGCATACGTATGTGTGTGCAGTGAGTTTGACACTAGAAGGATGTTTTCACATTCATCTGCTGAAAGTGGAAAGTTTTTCTGTGCTCATTGAACATCTGATTTTAATGGGTGGGGGATTTGGGAATGATTTGTGACAGCACAAATAGTTTGGAAGTCAGTCCTGGTCCAGTATGCAACTTGTACGAGTGTGATGCAGAAACCTGAAGCCACCAGACACTGAGAATGGACTTTACAGCAAAGTAGGAGACATCTTGTGTCCAGTAGGAAAACTTTTTTTTTATGATGTAGAAGGAGTTGATGCCTTTTTAAGGGTTTTACAGTGGAAATTATACTTTTTTTCAGCGACACATTATTGTTCCTAGTATACTACTTTTATTATGTCTTATAACATGTCTGGAGGGGATCTATAATTTTACCAATGACATTAATCTGTTCTGGTTCTTTCTGCATGTTCCTCATTGTTTTATTGTTTCATTTTGTGTTCTTCTTAGAGCCCAACCGTTTTGGGTTTTTTGAGACCGATTACCGATTTGGTGGGCGATATGACCTTTCAAAAGGTACTCAGAAGGCTGCTTTATTAAAGAATATTGAACTTAATTTGTAAGTTAAATAGTCCATTTTAAATGTAGGCTTACAACGTCAACCAATTCTAGAAATATAGAACATATATATATATAAATGTAAGCTAATAAAACTAAAATAAATAGCTAAACACACAAGCCTTTTTGCATTATATACTGAAAAAAGTTCATATTGGTGCATACTGGATAACATATATGACAATATCGTTATGATGCCGATATGTCTGTGATAGGTCAATATTAGGCCGATATATTGGGCTGTAGTTTTACTTTTAAATTGTTTTGGTATTATTATTTTAGCATTACTATCCAGGCTAGTGGCATTGCTCTGGCTCTGGCTCTGGCTCGGTCGATTGTGTGTTGTGTTATCGTACCTTGGCATAGTCCAACGGCAGCTGGTCCTCTGGACACTTGAAGACACCCTCACTGCAACAAAAAAAAGCAGAAATTTTTTTTGTTATTATTGGAATCACTCAGAATAAAAGATGACTGTGGACAAAAACAAGCATCTCAACAAGGACAATCAGACATTTCTAAACCACATTCAGCGTTCAGTGAGATTACTAACTCTGAATCTGACTGAGAACAAGCGGAGCATAAAGGCACTTCTTTGACAGTCTGTGAGAGCAGCACTGCATTGCCCTTAGTTTTATTCTGTCTCTTCAAACACTCTTAATAAGAGAAGCTCTCTGACTCATCACACTGTATGACGTCCAAACACACACTCACATGCACACACAGCACGATAAAGTCAGATCTTTGAGACACTGGCTTTAATGACTTTGACTCTTTCATCTTCTCCCCCTCAGAGGATTCGTCTGCACAGATTTTTATTACTGCAGAGGACAAAACTACAAGTTGGAGCCTGATTGGTTTATTTATAATACATAAAGGAAAGATTGATGATCTATTTCCTAGCTACTTTTACCATTTCTCTCACAGCTTCGAATGAGTGTTTAATTTTTGCCCTTATTTCGCAGTCTAGATAACAGTGTGCTAGTTTCAACAGGCTTCTGTTTTTCTGAGAATAAAGCAGTGTAAACCTCGCCTTCTTGCTCGAGGCTCTTCCTCAGGAAAAAATGACAATTTTCTAGTTTGCTAGTGCGAGAGGGACGTTTCTGTTCTTTTTCTCCTCCAAAATAAGACTTGAACTCTCATTTTACAACATGCCCCTGTGCAGCTTTTGTGGCGCCACAGAGGAGCCCTCAATAGCCTGTTTTAGGGCCAGATGAGCGAGTGCCACAGCTCATTAAGGCAGCCCCTCTTAAAACGTCTCTTCCCTGATGTCGTCATGAAATATTCACACTTGTAAATAATGGAGGGAGCAGCCACTAGGGGTGAGCTGCTACCTACTGTCAATGGCTGCTACACAGAGTCTACACTTGAAGCTGCACAGCAGGCCCATCCAGACACAAAGGTTACTTGAAAAAACAGAAAAGGCCATGGGTGGCTGATCTCTTGAGACATCAGCGGGGTCATGGCTGTCTCGAGCCCCCATGCTGTATCTGGATCAGAAATGCTCTCATGGATGTCATCAATATTTTGATTGTCATTTGCGCTAGCAAAAATGCCAAAGATTCATTGGTTCCAGCTTCTCCAACGTGGGGATTTATTGATTAATTGAGAAAATAATATCTACTGAAACTACAGACAACAGAGATGCACACAGGAATGTGTTTTGGTCAAAAGTCCCAAGCCCTGAAGCTTGATCTGACCTCCTATGCAAAGAGGCCTCTCATAACCCCGCATGCCCAAATTATGTTTAAACTAATTAAGGGACAACAGTGTGCAAACAGTAAGTGTTTGCCCCTCGGTGCTTTAATTTGGTTGGCTGCAGTGTCACCTGACTGACGCTCCCAGAGGCATAGGGACATGTGACAGGACGGGAGTGCATGTGCACTTCACCCCATCTACCCAGCTGCTATGAATCCAGGGAGTGTGCTGAAAGAAGGGGGGGATGGGAACAGAGGTTAGGCCTGAGAGGGAGGGTTGATGAAAGGGGGGGTTGAGGAGGGAGGTTAATGCATGACGAGACAGCAGTAATTCTCCTCCATTAGGGTCACTGTGTCAGCAGGGAGCTGGAGACCAATTAACAAGCCACCAAGGGCTGTAAAAGAGGGTCAATCGATTAGAGGCTAGAAGGGCCCAGTCAGCATCTCATGTGTAGTGTGAAGTCATTTACAGTGCTCATCGCCATCACCAAGGAATCATCTCACACTGTGGAGGGAGAAGTATAGGGAGAGCGCTGCCTGTCCTACAACCACGCAGCAAGAGGAGATGGGAAGAGACAGGCTCTCAGCTCCGGACAGGGGACAGCCAGAGGCCCCGTCCAGCTCGGGCCCCCGTATCTGACGCACAGAGAGGCAGACAGGCGAAAAGAGCCTAGTCACAGACTGTCAGGATAATTCCTTCCCTGGTCGCAGAGAAGCTCCCGCAGCCACACATTCATGTGTTCGGCCCCACTGCTGATAATACCGCCCGACTCTCTTGGTCGCTCTTGAGACGAACTCGCTGCCGCTTTGTGACAGCAAATTAGCAGTGAAAGGTGGGGCCGATGTGTAACACAGCTCCACGTTCCATCTAGCTTCTCTGGCTAACAATTTCTCTGACTACAGAGTTTCTAGTAGAGAAACGGGAGCAGCATGATAATAAATTACTGAACACCACAAATTATTGATTAATCTATCACTTTGTGTTTCAAATAATGAATTATTTTGTCTACAAAATAGTAACAAAAATGCTACTACAGATTCCCAGATTCAAATGATGTCTGGATCAATGTTTGTCTGATCAATAGTCCAAAACCCAAAGATCAGTTCACAATGATAAAAAAAAAAAAAAGCAGCAAATACACTGAGAAGCTTTGAGATGTTGTTAGCTAAACATCAGTATGTTAGCATTGGTCAGCATGTTGTTGTTAGCATTTAGCTTAAAGTACAGTAGACTCTACTTGCTGCTTGATAAAACCATTAACAGATTAGTAGAATTGTTTCAAATTAGCTGTTGATCCACTAATTGATCTTTTCCACTCTAATCACGAATTTGACTCAAGGCCAACATCGACTGAATCACTTGTAGAACATACATTAGCCGAACGACAGAAAACAATGTTGATTCACCATTTACGTTATTTATCCTGCAAAAATGCCAAATCTTTGTTGTTCCCAGACTCTCAAATGTTTCTGTTTTGGAATATTTTGGGATTTGGGGCCGTTGGTCAGACACAACAAGCAACTGAAGATGTCACCTTGGGCCTCAGATTAATCATAAAAATAACAGAGAGATTAATCATTAGGCATTAATCGCTAGTTGCAGCCCTGATGCAGTCATTAAAGGATAAACATAACTGTTACAGCCCAAAGGGAAAACTTCTTTGTGCAAATCCTTGCAAGTGGGAACTTGCACCTCACAAACAACCAGCCTCTCTTAAAACAGGTTTCCCACAAATGTTTGTCTGAACACAGTTCACACCCTCGTCGATGAACATCCAGGATGAGAGGCTGATAAACAAGTGTTTCAGTGTCGTGTTGGGATGTCACAGGGGAGCAGCTTAAGACCGGACAGCGTACATGGTATAATACAATCACCTCATTAAAGTTTCATTGCCTCCTTCTGTCCGCTCATACTGCGAGAGCGGTGGAGGCTCTACAGCTGCTCTGCTGAGGAGACGATCGCGTTCAAGTGAATTGACAAAGCTATCATCGTGTTAGCTTCTAGAAAACACATTCACCCCTCTGCAGGTGAAATGCTAACCCTCTACTCAAACCCATCATCGCCTTGGACCCTGAATCTCCTTTGCCTCTTATTGCCCCCCTCTCTTCTCCCGGGGGCCTCAAATCTTCTTTTCAGGCGCAGATTAAACAGCCATCCATTCATGCAGCTGATACCACGAGGACAGCCGTCACAACATGCTTCGTCACTCTGCACACGGCTCCTGACAGGCAGACGGTGAGACGCACAAATCCCTCAGGTTTAATCTCACCGGTGCAGAGCAGAGGGGTGTTTTTCAAGCGACAGCGACCAGCCTGCAGGCCACACAGAGGGGACATGTTGGTGACAAGAGAGTAACCTTGAAACCTGCTCACTCTATATCAACTAACAGAAAGAGAGACTCCTAAACAAACCTCCCTGTGTTTGCCATTGTAGCGGACAAGGCTGTCGAGACACACTAAACAAACTAAATCAAAAGCATGAGGCCTTTGGAGATCACAAGTCTGTGGCACATTAACACTTTAAACAGACCTCTGACACACGAGGTATTTTCTCATTGACTCAGATAGCATCAGGAGCCTTGACTGAGCTTATCTCCTGCTGGAGCTCACTAACGGCTTTTATGTTCATCCTCGAGCTAAACCCTTTTTGTCTTTTCAAGTTATAACCAGGATTAACTTTTATATACACAAACAAAACCTTAAATTCCACCAGTGCCCTCCGTGCAGGCTTCTGGTCTCACAGCTGAAACCAAACTCCCCGTTTCTCTCTCGCAGGAAGTTGGGAGAAAACAGGAATTTTGTTTTATCCCAGATAGAGTTCCTATAATCTCCCAAATCAATCTGGTTTAAAGTTTGTGTGTGTAACACTGTGTGCAGTCAAGATGTCTTTCCTCTGAGCCTCCTATTGTGAACAATAATGAATACAGATTATTATACACACATTATAGAGCGTGTGACTGATATTCTTCAATGTATCTTCAGTCTGTGACGCTGAAGATATTTCAGTCATGAAATTGAGTTTTTTCTTGTCGTTCTTATCTTTTAAAAGGTTTGTGTTTTCTACGGTTACGCTCCAGGTGAAAAATACCTCATTTGACAATGACGGATAAACTGATTGATTTGTCTTTTAATTTGACAGTTCCAGTTTATGAAATGGGAGAATCTGCCCTTTATCTCTGCTCACAATATAAGTACTGAATGTAATACTTTTGGGTTTTGGACTGTTGCTGGTGATTAATGCTTGATCTTTAGGAAATGTATTACCAGAATTCACAGAAATGTTCAAGGTTTCTCATGTTTTAAAGACCACACAGTGCCAGGCTATGGCATGGAAACACACTGTATAAATACATAATAAACATAAATACATCTGAACAAACTGGCATTTAATAGAATAAATCACAGTACTTAGCAGTTCTGTACTGGCTTTAAAATTATGCGTGACTTTGGACAGCCAATGCACTTTAATTATGGAAACTTCACAAAGAGAAAGCTAAATGTTTTTCCAAAGATTTAATGGTTTATTTTTATGTTTTCCCAGCTGTCTCTGGAGCTGTCTCACCACAAGCCACAATTTGTTTTCATTTCTTCCAAATGAAAATCTGAGTAGCTCAGCATTTCTTTTGCTCGGGCAATTTGGAACAATAGTGTACATCCACTCCAGAATAAAGTATTTAATATTTGTACCGTCACCTTTTCGTGTAGGCTAGTTAA